GTACAATTTTAATAATTGTATTAATATCGTTAAGATGATCTTAACTCTATTAAAAAAAATAGCTAGTTTCTGTAAAGAATAGATTAACTTTGTTATTTATAAGTATATAAAAGAAGTTTGCAATATGCAAGATAGCTTTGAATTTAGATTTAAAGTGGGCAATTTAAGTAGTATCATCTATATAGACAAATATGAAATAGAGAATAAGTAAGTTGCATGTATAGATATAGTTATGTAAAGGGTATAGTCTGCATAGTCTTGGTTAACTTTAGTGAGAAGTAGATCAAAATAAATATACTGTAGTATTGGTATAATGGTTTTGCTCAGATTAATTCTGTCTTGAACTGTATATTTGATAGTATTGCCAAAGTTTGTTATAACTTGGTTGGTATAGTTTTTGAAAATATTGATGATAAAATTAGTAATAACTGTTAGGTATTTGATTTAAAGAAAGGCTTTTCTAAGAAGAGACAAATGTATCAAGTTATAAGCCTTTGATATATCTTGTATTAGGATTCAAAATTTTTTGTTTTGGGTATTAATATTTTTAATAATATGGGTTAGATATTTGTATAGGTTGGGTTGTGAATATACAGTATATGAGAGAGCCATGTAATTAGAATAGAATAGAATAGAGAATTATAATAAGATTTTGTTTCATTTGTTTGTAATAATTTTAGTCAATATTTTGTATATGTATTCAATAAGTGTAATTAGGTAGGTATTGTTTAAATATCCATCAAATTTGCTTTTCTTCGATATTGAATAAACTAAACTGTATCTTCAAGCCTTAGGTATAGTAGATTGCTTGAGACAAGAGTTATACAGATTAAGCAGAATAACTAATAATTTGATAAGCAGATGTTTTAACATTTTATTTGATATACCTTGGGAGCTAGTTGCTTTGTAAGTAGATAAGTGTTAGATTGTTGTTTGTAATCCTTGTAGCATGATTGGGGTAGTGATGGATTGGAACCAATCTTTTCAGATATTTGGAATAGGTTTGTAGTATATATAAGTCTCACTATGGCTATTTGATTTATATAGTAGAAATGCTTTTTGTCCAGTTTTAAAAATGTGTTTTAATTTGTTATTTTATTTTTTGTGGCTCTGTAATGATAATATTGTGGTCTTTGATATTGTCAAAGAAGACCCTGTCTTTTTTCTAGTGTAGAATACTATTAATCATAACTAAAATATTGGTTTAAAAGTTTGTATATCACTTGTTTATATAATAATTTATTTGGTTTTTTTTGTTTATTCTTATTTACTAAGTTCTTTGTATATAGTATTGTTTTTTGTAAAGAGCAGATTTGGGCCTTGGTTTGGCAGATTTGGTTTGTTAACAGATCAGTAGGGTGGAGGGATATAAATTTGTATTGTATAAATTTAGTAATATTATTGCCTTATAGATTACTATATTTCTCTGAAAATAAACACTTCTCAGAGCAATTTTTATAGCCAAAATTCTTGTGATCTAATGATTTAACCTGTATTATTTTAGTACTATTCAAATCATTTTGACAAGTTGATTCAAATAGTATGAGAATTTTGGCTATAAAAATTGCTCTGAGGGGGTGCTTATTTTAAGAGGAATATGATAATCTGAAAAGTAAAAAATTTTGGAGTAATTGGTGTAGAAGTGTGCAGAAAGTTTGTAGTATCTTGCATATTATTTTAATTGCTTTGTATAGCTTTGTTACTTTGAATATAAAGGTATAGTACTGTTTGGGGCTAGTACAGGTTGTAGAGATATAGTTGTTTATAGCTTCTTTTACCACCATGTTCTATTTATACCAAAGTTTGTCTATATTAGTTTGGATTTGGAGAATTAGGGTCTTGTAGTCTAGTGGTCTAGGTGCCTAACTTTCTACAGATGAGATTAATGGTTTGATTATAGCTAGTAGTAATTAATTTAATTAATTATCTCTATAATCTTTGGGAGCTTTTGAATATGAAACTCTGTGGCGATAAAACTATGTAATATACATATTTGGCTGATAAAGAATTCTTGAAAGGAGCCCAAGCTATGAAGAAAACTATGCACTATGTATAACATGAGTCACAGAAGATAATACTGCAAAAGGCTATACATGTGAAACTATAATTGGCAAGATAGCACTAACAACTCTAAAATGGCATTGGGATTTTGATTAAGAGAATGGCTGAATATGATATATTCAGAAGTAGTAAAAAAAGCAGTGAATATATAAGGGGCTGCAGTAAGAGAATGGCTTTACCAAATATAAAACACCTCTGGCACAAGAAAACAAGGAAAACTGGCCAAAAAAACCCCCCAAAAGCATAAAAGCAAGTACTTCAGTAGTATAAAAATAAAGATAGCTAGTGAGTAATATGTTGTACAACTTATATAGAAGTCAATAACAAAATATAGCAGAAGCGTGAGTTCTGGATTACTGGCTTGTGACAGTAATTAAATAAGATACTTAACTTCTATTCTAAGGATCTAGACTTCTGTAATACTATATCCAGTGTTGGCATTAGATATATGTCTAGCTATTTTTAGTACCCTTGGACTGGACATAGATATTGGTCATATACCTAGACATAGTCCAGGTCCAATAGGTTCAATAATTTAATCATCATTTTTAATCTTTATAAATTCTATAAGATATAGTTGTATCATATTACTAAGCCTTAGATTTTATCAAATGATCACCACATTATAGTTACATGAATAAAAATAAAAATAATAATAAAGCATTAATTGATGATTTTTATTTTCACTAAATTATAATAGTGACTCAAATAATTTGATTTCGAATCATAAATTTTTTAACTTGTGAGTACTTATGAGTTAATTGTTAATGCATAATAAAGTTTAAAATAACTAATACTTTGCATTATAAATTTTGTAAGCTGTATAAAAATGTTGTAACTCTAACATAATTAAGTATAATTCTTTAAAATTTAAATAAACTACATATGTAATTTATTGCAATCACAAATTTTTAATAAACATACATTTGCATTCATAACTTGTAGTTAGATATAACACATATATTGAATTGTACTTGCTTTCATAACATACAAATTGACTTAAATTTGCTTTGTATAACTCGCTATCGAAGTAATTTATTTTTCTAGCTCGCAGTTTATAAAATTTATCAATGAATTTATTGCCATGCTTCGAATTACTCGAATAAGCAATTTAATTGAATGACTCGAGCAGATTAATTCGTTAGTCACTAGTTTATACAACTAAATAGGGTTTTAGAATTAATAATTCGACGTCCGGTTTCAATTAAAATAAATGATGTGTTTATTTTAAAGAAGCGACGTACAAATTCGATTTTTTTTAAAAGTATGTACTCATTTATATAATCATTAATGGGTGAATGTTTATCAAAAAAAAAGCTAATATTATCATCTACTTTGCTTATTGAATTTTCTAATTCAGAATTCTAAAATATTCTCTATAACAATGTTTGGATAAATAACTAATATTTTATATTTGTAACATGAATGTTCTCATATTTAAATAGAGAAGAAGATATTGCATATATTTACTTTCGCTTAAGCCAACTATCAAAGCTAAACAGCACATAAATATATTAATTACAAAGATTCCACAATAATCTGAAATTAATTCAATTTATTTAAAGTGAGAAAAACCCGAAATCTTACATATAATTACCAAAACATACATATTTGATAAAATAAAAAATAAGATTTTATCCCATTATTGCATAGAATATTATATATCTAAAATTTAAATTTCTAATGTTACTAAATATCTGTTGCAAAAAAAGGTGCTTCCATGTCAGTTGAAAACAAATTATTTAATGGCTATTTGGCCTTGCAATTTTTTACAGGATGTTCTTGATTTTCTAGCAATTCATTTATATTAGCCAATTCCAAATCTATTAGATTATCTTCAGAGTCATCTTCATTTGTTGTCGATAACCATAATGATATAACATCTTCATTATCTTCAACTTTTTCGCAATTGCTTTCATCATCAATTAAAAGAGCATCTGACTCGTTTTCAGGATGGCCTAACAAAAAGGTTGTAGAAGTTGATTCATAAAGTTTTTTAAGCTCATCTAATTCTTGAGTTCGGCGATTTTGAGTAAGTATTCTACGCAATTGACTAATTGACAAAACTATAATTTAATTAATTAAAAGATAAATATATACATAAACAAAATTCAGATATAATAGCAATTAAAACTGGCAAAAAAAAGAGTTTGTCCAATTTTAATTGCTATTTTGTCTAAACAAATTTATAAAATAGTTCTTTACTAGTAATCTGTTACGCCGGCTGGAATGGATAAATCCCATTGAAGACCAAAAACATTCTACAAAGGCTGTATTTACACAAATTGCATGAATTTGTAATGCAACTTAACCTAGTTCTTTGGCACGTGATACACAGTAATTCCAATACCCGATTATATCATTACCAAACTGTCTTGATATCATAGTATTAAATGGTGATTTTTTTTGATGGTAAAGCTCAAGCTCACGTAAAATTGAAGTTGGCTGCTATTGAAACTATGCACAATAATAGTACATAATATATTCACCTATATCAATCCATGTTAATGTATCTAAATCGGAATTAAATTTATCTATTTGATAAGTTGGATGAAGAATAAATGATAATATGAGCAATGGTTGTTCTCAAGAGCTCCATCGGTTTTCCAACCGATTTAAAAGCTACTGACTAAGGTTATTATCAGAATATTCTTTAATCATTTTGGCCAAATAGCCAAAAGAGTGTAATACTTCAAAAAGTCATGCTTTGTCACGCTGCAACAAATTACCGTATATTGCCAAAAATAAGCCACCTCCAAAAATAAGCTACCCCTTTTTTCTTGGAAAAGAAACATAAAAAAATTTGTAATTCCGAAAATAAGCTACCCCTGATAATTTCTTAAAATCTAGAAGTAGTTTCTATATATAAAGGTCAAAATTCTATTAAGTTAATCGATAAATGTCACTTAATAGGAGTTGTTCAGGACGTAAAAATACACATATTGTGAAAGTTTGAAGCAAATCAGAGAACTTTTTACTAAGATGTTTTTCCATTTTACGTTTGAGCGTAAAATGCAAAAACATCTTAGTAAAAAGTTCTCCGATTTGCTTCAAACTTTTATGATATGTGTATTTTTACGTCCTGAACAACTCCTATTAAGTGATATTTATCGATTAACTTAATAGAATTTTAACTTTTATATATAGAAACTACTTCTGGATTTTAAAGAAATAATAAAAATCAATCTTTTCGAAACTTTACCCGAAAATAAGCTACCCCCATGATTTTTGTGTCACTTTTTTGGCCAAAAAAGGTAGCTTATTTTCGGAAACCTACGGTAAGACAAGCACAATAAGGTAATAATAAAGCTTTTATATTTCTTATTTGTCGTCACCAGTTATTATCATTAATAATATTATATATTTTGTCTAGTAATATCAAATCAGAAATGCTTTGAGGATCAGATAATTTATCACTCGAATCATATTCACGAGGTTCATATTTTGCAATTAATATCTAAATGCAATAAAAATATATTAATAATTAATTGATTAATAAATATATATAAATTTAATTATATTAATTACTTTAAGAGCTTCTTTTGTTTTTAAAAGACTTTCTAAACAATAAAAATAAGAATTTTATTGTGTTACACCTGGTTTAATAAGAGTCACATATTTATGGTATAAATTCTTCTGCTGTTCTTGCAATTTACCAATAAAATATGCATGATTAATATTCCCAAAATATGTTGTAATAGTAACTACATTATCAATTGCTTTTTTAAATACTGGTGATTCCTTAAAAATCTCACTAATACATAAATTTAATTGATGAGCAAAGCATAGTAAAAAAACCTTATTTGAATACTTTATTTGTAGTTGTCTCCTATGTAAATAAATTTAAATTAATTAGCACCTATTTAAAGTAAGTATTGTCAAAAAAGCCTGCTATTAGACTTTTAATCAGTTTTGGTTTAAAATATAATTAAAAGTCTAATTATAGTATTTTTTTAATAGTATTTAAATAATAAAAGCAAGATAATTAATTACCTTGCTGCAGTATACGCGCTGCACTATCTGTTACCAAAGCAATAGCTTTAATTTCTTTTAATTCTAATTCATTAAACAATTCTTCAATTTTTAAAATGACATCACTAGCATGTGATCTTTCGGCACTAATATCTTGGGCTTTCCAGATTAAAGGTTCACCAGAGGAGGTAATTAAAACACTTCCTAATAAATTCTGATTAATTACGTTTGTCCAACCATCTAAAGTTATAGTAACTCCAACTTTGTCATTTTGTGCCATTTTTTCTATTTTAAATACAAATTTAGTAGTAGCATTGTCTAAAATTTTTTCACTTAGTTGTTTGCGAGTAGGTAGTGAAATTTTGGGGCTAAGAAATTTAAAAGGAGCTAGTAATTCTATATTTTCAACCTATCTAAAACTCCAACCATTGACTACCGTCATTTTTAAAAGTAAGTAATTAAAATTTAATTTTTCTGTTTTAGAAAGCCCGCATATTACATGAAAATCTAAGGGCCCTCTAGACTCTTGTTCAGTATCAGTATTATTATTTTTGTCTGAATTATCTTAAGCTTGATCACTAGACTTATTACTGACTAATTAATAAATAAAATCTGTTTAATTATACTTTGAATATAAAAAATTTATTAATAATTAATAATTATATATATATTTGCACTTTTTTTAAAAATTTTTTGATTTTTCATTATCCATATCATTTAATATTCTTGTAGCCTCATCTTCTCCTTTTTGGTTTTTAAAATATGCACAATTTTTTAAATGTGATTTTACAAGCTTTTTTGTATTGACAAATTTATTTGAATACACATATTCTTGGCTTTTAGTTTCTTTACATACAATACATATAGCAAAATGATTATATTCATTAGACTTTTCTTTTAAAACTTCTATAAATTCTGTTAGACAATGACAAGTAGGTTTTTTTTTTGCAGCAGCATTATTTAGCAAATTAATAAATTTAGGATTGAAAGAAGTATGCAATGTTTGTATTCAAATCAATTCTTTATAAATAATAAATATTTTATGTACATAATCAGGAATTATTTTATAGCATTAGTATTGATATCTATAATAATGCCAAATTAATACTATTAGAAGTTGAAAAATCATTACAAGATTTTATTTGGATCACGTATACTACAAGTTTTATTTTGATCATTTATATAAACTATTAAATAAATTACAATTATATTAACGCAAATGAAATAGCAATCTGATTATTCTAAAACCTGAATAATAAGAGTTTTTATTATTAAACCAAAAGTGGTTCTATTGGGCTATTTTTATAATATAGATTTCTTGCTTTCTCCGATTTAATTACTTCTAATGCAAAAATTTTTGATTCTGATAATAATAAAGAATGAATTTAAAGCTGAAACAAGCTTTAGTATCGGTTGTAGATTTTTTTTATTCTATATAAACAGCCAGAATAATTTTAGAAGAAGTAATCTGTACTTAATTTTAAGTGCGATATTCTTAAAATTTATACTACAACAAATATATATGGAATAAAATCTTAATTAGATATAATAATTAATAATTCGTGAAATTTTAAGTACTAAAAAAAAATTTTTCTCATTTATGTTATTTGAGTGCTTCAAAAGGAAAATCTAAAAATCTTTATTAGATAAATTTCGGGATTTTTACTTGCGTAACATTTAAAGTATAGAAATGTGGATTTCTTTGGCTATGATTTGCAATTCTTTATATAAAAAGTAATAGCCGTAACTAGCCAAATAATTAAAAACTAGTTATTTTATCATAGATTATCAATATTATCTAATAATACATAGGTTTGGGTCAAAATCCTGATAAACAGATTCTGATCCAAGCCTGTGAAAAATAACTTCAAAAAAAATTCTTACAGTACAACCTTGGCATTATTTGAGAGGTTTAAAAGGAAAATTCAGAAGTTTTATTAGATAATATTTCAGGGTTTTCACTCGTGTCATATTTAAAATATAGAAATATGAATTCCTTTGGCCGTGGTTGCAATTTTTTATATAAAAGAGTAATAGCCATAATTAGCTAGATAATTAAAATCTGTTATTTCATCATAGATTATCAATATTATTAATAGTACATGAGTTTGGGTCAAAATCCTAACAAATAGATCTTGACAGATAATTTTGATTCTGTTGGGATTATTATTTTCAAGTTTTGACTCAACTCCGTGAAAATAAACAAAAAAAAAAAATTTATCACAGTATGACTTTGGCATTATTTGAGTGTTTCAAAAGAAAAATCCAGAAGTTTTATTAGATAAAATTTTAGAATTTTCACTCATATCACAATTAAAGTATAGAAATGTGAATTTCTTTGGCTGTGATTTGCAATTTTTATATAAAAAAGTAATAGCCGTAATTAGCTAGACAATTAAAACCTGTTATTTCATTATAGATTATCGATATTATCTAATGATACGTGGGTTTGGGTCAAAATTCTAATAAACAGATTCTGACAGAGAATTTCGATCCTGTTAGAATTCTTATTTTCAAGTTTTTAATCCAAACTCATGAAAATAACTTCAAAAAAAAAAAATTCTCACAGTATAACCTTGGCATTATTTGAGTGTTTTAAAAGGAAAATCCAGAAGTTTTATTAGATGAAATTTTAGGGTTTTCACTCATGTCATGGAAATGTGAATTTCTTTGGCTATGATTTGCAATTTTTTATATGAAAAAGTAATAGCCGTAATTAGCTAGGCAATTAAAACCTGTTATTTCATTATAGATTATCGATATTATCTAATTATACGTGGGCTTGGATCAAAATCCTGATAAACAGATCCTAACAGAGAATTTTGATCCTGTCAGGATTTTTATTTTCAGGATTTTGATCCAAACCCGTGAAGAATAGCTTTAAAATATTGTTTGCTTTTTTTTTTCTAGCTGATCAAAAAAAAAATAAAATCATTTATCAAGCTACTTAAATTAATAAGCCTTTCAAGTTACTATCAAATATACAATTTGAGCAAAATTTATTAGTTTGTTATTTACTATTATGATTAAAAATAAATGTATTTAAAATAAGCCAACCAATTTTAGGATTATTTACTTTAATTAACTATGTAAGTTTTATAGAAATCACCAATTTGTCATTAATTTCATGTTAATTCAGTATATAGGCAACAAGTTTGTACTAATATTTATATCATATAAATCAAGTAATACTTAATTTAATATAGAATGTGAAATCTATCAATTCGGCAGCAATATTTAAATTATTATAACTTGATTTCTTTCAGTTATTAAATCAGGTAGCGAAGCCGTTTGTACAAGCATACAGTTTCTTTGTAATATAATATGAAATCACGGTTTTTTAAAAACTGTTGATATGTACTCGAAATTTTGACTATGAAATCACAACTGCGCTCTAATAAAAAAAAGACCTTGTTCTAGTCTATATTAAAATAACCAATAGTAGCCAATAAAAACATATATAATATGTAATATCATATATTAGATATATAGTAAAAATAAACTGTATATTTTATTGGACCAGGTCCAAGGTTCAATACCTACCAGGTTCAATAATTGGACTAGATTGGACCAAGGTGGTTCAAGGTCCAGGTCCAAGGTCCAGGCCCAACACTGACTATACCAATAGGGAGTATATAAAAGAAGCAATAGCCTAATTTGGTGGTGTATAATATGAATATCTGGTTGATATAAAATAATACTCTAATATAGCATCAGGTGGCTTGAGATACAAGTCTTATAACTATGGCAGTACCTGTTTGAGATATGGATTAGGTTTTTAAAGTAGCACCTCTAGGGACACCAAACTGAAAGCATGAAGAGCACCCACTCAAAAGACACCAATTTGAAAGTAATTTAAGAAATAAATTAGAAGTAATGTGATAAGTAATAAGGAGTAGAAGTTGGTCAGTAGACATTGTATAGTAAATATAAGCAGGATATATATGATATAATAGATTTGGGAACTATCTAGTAAGTTTGAAACCAGCCTGTTACAGGACAGTTGATAAGAAAGTAAAATCTCATATTGTTACAAAGCAGATTGTAACACAACATAACATTAGTATAGCATAGTATAAATTATAATTTATTATTGTATATACAGTATTAGTTATATTTATTTAGTATTAGTTATTATTATAGTTATATTTATTAGTATAGTATTAGTTATTATCTTTATTATTGTATTAGTTATAGAGATTCTATTGGCTAGTTAAATGAGACACAGTAGTATTATACGAGTACCTCTCAGTATCTGCACATGGGTACTTTTCAGTACCTGTATATAAGTATCTCTCAGTATCTTCATATAAGTACCTCTTAGTACCTTCACATGAGTATCTCTTAGTACCTCTACATAAGTACCTCTCAGTACCTCCATATGAGTACCTTTTAGTACCTTTGTACAAATACCTCTTAGTACCTCTACACGGCTTAGCAATTATACCATTATATCTTTTATATGTGAAAAAGTTATAAAAAGAGAGCCTTTGTCCCTTTTACTAAAGTTAGAGAATTCCTTACTCTTTCATAGTATCTAGCCCTACCTTCTTACTATTCTTATCTTGTATAAAGTAATATACTCCCTCTAGAGTAATCCTAGTAGGTGAGATTATCCTCCTTGACCTATAATAAATAAAATATTAACTTAATATACTGACCTAATGCCGAACTATTGTCTCCTGCTAGTGGAGTTGTTAGTACACTCCACTTCTATCCCATATACACCCCAACAGTAGAGTCTTTGTACCGAATACTATGTTATCTTGCTACATTGGTGCAAGAAGGCCATGGTATTGTAACAATATAGCAGGTTGCATATAGGTACTTAAATTAGTAATTGGGTAAGCTAATACTATATATATATTAAATAGTTATAATTGTACTTATAACATTTGTAACTAAAAATACCTTAGTGTAAATCTAATAAGCAGTAGAGGCAAGACTGCCAAATTAAAAAAAAATTAGTTTGAATTTGGATAAAGGTTTCTGTTGTAATATATAGTTTTTCTATTTATTTGATAGTATATTCACTAAAATCAGTTTACTTTTTCTCTGTCATTTTGTGATATAGGTATATCTTGCAGCTTTGTTTTATTCTACATTTTGTATAAAAAGGGCATCTCAGATACTATGTAACTAAGATAATTGTATAATCACTGTTAGTGATTCCTAAAGCAAGACTGATAAGTAGAGTATCAAGCTAATATAGTATGTTTGGGTTGATTCAGATAGGACCTCTAAATACTAGTATATTATATATGTAAACCTTTATCTTTAAAACTTATATAAGTGTACAAATAATTTTTATTTTTATTTTTATTTTTTTAATTTGGCAATCTTGCCTTTATTATCACTAGAAATAGAGTATAAACAAATACACAAAATATTTGAACAAAAAGTTTGCAATTAACTAAAAGTCTTCGATCCTTCTATTTTTAC